CCCGACCCGACCTGATATTTAGATTTTTTTTAGATTTGTTTGACAGGGAAAGTGGTGCGCAAACAGAAACACACACACGCGCATATATACATATATTAATTTATATATAAAAAAAAAAAACACTCCCCAGAAAAAAGGGCACTTTCTCTCGAGGAAGAAAAAGGGCAGGTGCTCAAGCCCCCTTTGATGTCTATGTGTGCACGTGCCTGATAGGCTGTCATTATTGAGTCTTGAATCACTATACTTTGCATATGTGACCCTGGAGCACAAAAGCAGTCTTAAGTCGCTGGGGTATATTTGTAGCAATAGCCAACAATACATTGTATGGGTCAAAATTACTGATTTATCTTTTATGCCAAAAATCATTAGGATATTAAGTAAAGATCATGTTCCATGAAGATATTTTGTAAATTTCCTACCGTAAATATATAAAAACTTAATTTTTGATTAGTAATATACATTGCTAAGAACTTAAGGCGATTTTCTCAATATTTTGATTTTTTTGCTCCCTCAGATTCCAGATTTTCAAATAGTTGTATCTCAGCCAAATATTGTCCTATCCTAACAAACCATACATCAATGGAAAGCTTATTTATTCAGCTTTCAGATGATGCATAAATCTCAATTTCAAAAAATTGACCCTTATGACTGGTTTTGTGGTCCAGGGTCACTTAAAATATCAGAATTCTTAGCATAATCGTAATGTGTAATCTGCAAACATGAGATGTTCTCATGAAGGTACGTCTAATCGACAGCACGAAAACAATAAAGGTAGAATAAGGAGTACTGAGTAATCAGGATATGCATCTGAACAAACCAATCATAGTCCTGTTATGCAGTACAAGGAAGGAAAATTATTATATCTCCAGGGCAGTACTGCCTCTGATCTATTGGAAATGCAGAGCTTGATTATTAGTGCTCTGCTGGAGACTGGTTTAGAGTCTTTTAGTGACAGTTTTTCCTGCTCTTTAATGACTAGATTTTATCCTGACAGTATGAACTGCAGGAGCAGGAGTTCAAGACTTTTCACTCTGTTCACAAACTTGAAAGTTTGATTTTGTGCAGTTTTTACAGGATTTTATTTTATTTATTTATTTATTTATTTAGTCATTTATCAGATGCTTTTATCCAAAGCGACTTACAAATGAGGACAACAGAAGCAATCAATTGTAGTATTAAAACAACTAAAAACAGATCCAAAACTAAAAGCTAAAATTTAATAAATAGTACTTACTTACATTTTAAAAATAAAGAAATTAAATAAAAATCTTTACACTGTTTTCTGCTGGTGCTTGAACACACTTTCCTTATTTTTTACACAACAAATGGCCAAGCAAGCGCAGACACTGACAAGATATGCGATACAGAACGAGACCAAACGCCAAATTTTATACAGTATAATGCAGGAGAATTGAGTTGTTATTCAATCACAGGTGATGAAACGTGACTCTTTCTCAGGTTACTTGTCTTTGGGGATGAACAGAAAAGTGTTTGGGCCGTGTAGCGGTTCAAACCTGCAGGTGACGAGCAATGGCATGCTGGTCCGGAGTCTGGGTCCGGTTTCTTCACAGACTTCAGTCCAAAACGGCCCACCTCATTCACTCGCTGTTCCCTTCACTGACGCCAGGTAAATATCCTCACACACTTAGAAATAAAGAGTTCTTCACAGTGATGCCATAGAAGAACCATTTTGGGTTCCTAAAAGAACCTTTCAGTCCTGATCAGTTCTTAAAAGAACCATTGTTATGTTAGTGTGAAGCACTGTAAGAACATTTTGTGGAATTGAAAGATTCCATGGATGATAAAGATTCATCATGGAACCATAGACACCAATGAAGAACCTTTATATTTAAGAGTGAAAAGGGAATTAATTTCTGTGTTCCATAACAAACAAAAGAATATGTTTTTATGTACGTTTAAGCTGTACAACAAAAGCGTGCATTGTCTACAGGCTGTCAAACTCCAAACAGTACCATATAAATAGTCCATTTGCACTATATTCCAAGGCCGAACAGGTCGATATAGTCATTATCCACTGAAAACGTCTCAGGTTACTTATGTAACCATGGTTCCCTGAGTAGGGAACGAGACACTGCGTCCTCTAGGGATCGCTATGGGGAAACCTAGAGGACGCAGTTCGAAGTTCCCATGAAAGGGAACGTCTCAGGTTACTTATGTAACCATGGTTCCCTGAGTAGGGAATGAGACACTGTATGTAATGGCACCAATTTGGTGCCATTACATAACTTAAATGACTTGAATATAGATTTGGCAATCATGTAAACTGCTGTTGTGATCCATTATGTATCTTGATTTTGGAGTTTGATGGCCCCAGTCTGCTTTAAATTAACGGAAAAGAGTGACGGGGATATTCTCAAAGTAGAGAGAAAGTCATCTGGAGTGTTTCAGTCCTGACATCGAAACCTGTAAGACTAATTCACAATGGGTTCCCTTGAGATTTTCATCAATTCATGAGCAGTGTTGGGAAGGTTGCTTTAGAAATGTAATAGGTTACAGATTACACCCTGTCAAAAATGTAATCAGTAATGTAACTATTTCAATTACTTTCTTAAAGTAATGTAACTGATTACATTTGATTACTTTTCTAAATTTCCAATGTTTTCAACTGGTAATCATTTTCAAATAAGTAGAACTCAACGCTGATTACTATCGCTTTCGCAATCCTTTATCCCTTGAATGAAGATTATAATAACTTAATTTTAAAGCACAGCCACCACAAAATCAGACTTATCTGATTCAGAGATCAGAGATCATTCTGAGGTTAAATACTGATTTAAAACCATAACAAGAACTAGTTTAGTAGGTATGATACTGTTTTTGAAATCAAATCTTTGCATATCTTTGACAGGAAACACTGGCATCTAACAATGGCTTGGGAAAAAACTGTTAATCTTTAAACAAAAAAGGATGTACATAAACCCAAATAGGAAATAAAACAGTTATTGAATAAGCATGTGTCCTAAACTCCTGAAACATTGATGTCTCATATATTCGAGCAGTCACTGCAATTTATGAAAGAAATCGATTAAATCCATATGTGTTAAATCAGATGTAACTCCCGTTGTAATCATTAACATATTCATAAGTAACTGTAATTTAATAAAGCAATAAGCCCCGTGAAGCCGTGGTTTACAGTGAATTTATAACAGCTAAGGGGTGTTGTTAGGCACGACGCGAAGCTGTTATAAATTCACTGTAAACCACGGCTTCACGGGGCTTATTGCTTTTATACACCAAACAATGTAGCTCCTCAGAAACAGTTGTGGTTGCTACAAAGTGGTTGCCGAGCAACAGACAAACGTAAACAAAGGTGTATGTTACTTTGTAGAGTCATTTACAACAGCTTCGAACGCGGCTCAGCCAATCAGAATCAAGGACCGGAACTATCCGTTTTATAATTACACATTTTTCCCTCAGTAACTGTAACTGATTACAATTAAATTTATTTTGCAATTAAATTACGTAATTTAGTTACATGTACCTAGTTACTTCCCAACACTGTTCATGAGTAAATAAGCTCTGTGGTAAACATAACTTGACAATACTTGAACGTTTTGCTGCAATTTTTGGGCGATCTATTGCAGGTGTTTGCTGTCCAGAGAATCCCTGGCCTCGACCACCCTCAGCATCGCCGAGACGCAATCGATTCGCAGCAGTAAGCTGGACTGGCCCTACGGTTACCGTGTTCTGCCTCCTTTAGGGCTAGGGTTTAACCAGACTTCAGAAGCAGCCGATCCCAATCTCATTCCCGGGACCTCCATGTCCGAATCCGTCTCCAACCCCACGTTTCTACCGCATTATCTCTTCAAGGAGGACGCCAGCAGTCCGCGGCTCTCAGCCCGCTCCAAAAAGCGAGCGCTGTCCTTGTCTCCTCTGTCCGATGGCATCGGTATCGGCCTCGACCTCAACTCCATCATCCGAACCTCGCCCACGTCGTTGGTGGCGTACATCATCGGTTCCCGCACTTCGCCGGCCTCACGCCCCACTCCTTCTCCTCTGCAGTCCGATGTTTGTGGACACCTGCTGGGCATCAGAGGCAGCTGCATCCCTCATCCCAACCCCGGCAAACACATCTCCAAAGACAGGTCAAGTCAGATGCTCTCTGATGACACCGAGAGTTTGGAGGCGACGCCACACTGTAAAAAAAAATTCCGTAAAATTTACGGTAAAAAAAACAGCAGCTGTAGTTGCCAGAATTTTACCGTAAAAAATACGGTAGCAACATTTTAGGCTGCTTGTGAAAAAGCTGCTTGTGATGAGCTTTGGTTCATCATGTGACTTTCTCATCGCCACCTGCTTTTGGTGGTTATCAGTGTATTACAAAGGTACAAAACAGATTTACTTCCATTTGAAATCTGGAATCTGAGGGTGCAAAAAAAAATCTAAATATTGAGAAAATCGCCTTTAAAGTTGTCCAAATGAAGTTC